ATGCTGAGCGTTTGTAGATAGGAGGTACCGCGAGGGTCCTTTTCACTGCTCTGTCTTTCTCGCACTCACGGGACGTCCCGTAGAGGTGCGAGCGAGACAGAGCGACGAAAACGGTTCTCGGAATCGGTCTGCAGGTTGGCAAGCTCTGCTTTCACTGGATGGCACGATTCAAATCGACTAACGACGTGCCGCCTCAAAGGGCCACAGCAGAGCGACCATTAAATCGCACAGCGAAAAAAAAAGAAAAAGAGGTCAGCGGAGAAAATGAGGAAAAAAGGTGCGAACAAAGTACGTGTCCAGTTGGCACTCTCGCGGCCCGCGAATGCCTCAACCGTGACGCGACACAGCGACACATCAAAGACAAGACCTCATTAGTGGCTGCTGATTTAATTACAACGTGGCCCACAGCAGGAGGACCTCCAAGGCCGGACCCAGTCGCTCTCTCTCTCTCTCTCTCTCTCTCTCTCTCTCTCTCTCTCTCTCTCTCTCTCTCTCTCTAGGCCCGACGCCCCCGGCGGCCTTCGCCCTCGTCATACCTGGCCGGACACTCTGTGTTGTCGTTGCCACCCACTTGCCCCGCTCACACTCCATCGCCTCCGTCCGTCCTGCAGAGGACCCGCCGAACCATTCCGAGGATTCGATTCGTCGCTCCGTCTCTCTCGCACCCGTACGCGACGCCCCACGAGTGCGACAGAGACGGAGCCGCGACCCGCCGATCCACGCCGCGGGCAGCTCGCACAAATTTCCTCCCGCTGCGCCCCGCAACGAGGAAGAGAGACAACAGAGGATGCCCCGACGTCCTCACGGGAAACATACACCGTAAAAAAATTCCGTACTTTTGTACGGAAATGGTTCAGAAAAATATAGTACGGAGGTACGGAGAAAAGTATGGAACGTTCCGTACTTGCTCCATGGGAACCCATGTAAATGGGTACGGAAAAAAATGGGTACGGAACGTTCCGTAGTTGGCAAGTACGGACGGTCCAGGCAAATTATTGATCAGACATGTTCCGTACTTTTTCCGTACTTTTTTCTCACAGTGTATCCAACTCCAGTCCTCTGTTTTTCAGGAGACTCTCTCTATCTCACTCTCTCCGACGCGATCCCTCATTCCTACAGCACAGTACTCGCGCAAGCCAAAAACAAACAACAAGAACAAAACACAGCGGAAACAAATGTAGCACGCAAGCACGCGGAAACTGTAATCATGTAGCAGCGAGCATTGTGGCGTAGGCCCGCTTGGCCGCGCGTTAGGCTGAGTGGTGGAATGAGTGTCGGGCTGTATTAAAACCCATTTAAAGACCGTCGCCGTCGTCTCCTTGTCGTCCGCGGCGAACGACGACGCAGTGCTTCAGCAGTGTTGGCAGCGTCCCGACATAAAACCGGCGATTTTCTGCGCACTCAGACGCGAGGAGGTGCAGCGGTCCCATCCAAGCGCCTCCTCCACCCTGACTGGCCATACTGCGAGTGGGAGCTTGAAGTTGCTTGAAGCTCTTCTCCACCGGTATAAAGTGTCACCTTAGTAAGGACGGCCATGTCTCGTTTTGCAGTGCAGGCAAGCATGTGATGTGTCGTGCCCGAAATGGCAGACGATCGGTTGTCGTCTAGCCCGTAATGGTAATGGTAATAGCGAGGTAGGCAACGCTCGCGCTTCCCAGTGCAGCGTGTGGCCTATCCTCCGTTGCGCGGGCGCTGAGCGACATCCTTCACACAGTCGTAGGCGCGCCTGCCGATCGGCGATTCAGAAGATCGCGGTTTGTCGCTCCGTCTCTCTCGCACCCTTGCGCCGTGAGTGCGACAGAGACAGAGCGACGAAACGACTCTTCTGCATTGCTCGGCTGCCGCACAGTGGGCCAGAAGACCGGTGGAGGCGGTCGAAATTCTAGACGCGTTTTGAGCTCCAGAGTCGCTAAATGGGACTCGAACCGAACGTGTGACCCCACCAATGGATTGCTCTCCGGACGAGGTGTCCATCGGTGGGGTCTCACGTTCGGTTCGAGTCCCATTCAACGACTCTGGAGCTCCAAACGCGTCCAGAGTTTTGGCCGCCTCCACCGGTCTTTTGACCCACTGTGTGCCGCCCGCAGTGCGCGAGGCGGTACGCGACCGCCACCGTCGCCAAGGCGGCCAAGGCGGCGCCCCGAAATACGGCCGCTTAAGCCCTCCGCGTTGCCGCTCGCCTTGCCACGCGCAGCGCCGTATAAAAATACGTTATCTGCCGGGAAGGGGCGGCGGCGCGAAGGCGGGGCGCGAAGGCGGGGCGCGAGGCGCGGAGGGCGGGCCAGATTGAATTTGCTACCATACTTTGCGCGGGACTTTACTCCGCCGCCCGACGACACCACCGTAAGTCGCCGGTCCCGGCCGCGGAGCTGCGCGGCTCTGCGCGGCGCCAAGCCGAGCAGGCGAAGCGGCCGCCACCTTGTCCGGTATAAATCGCCGTACTCGATATAAGCAAGACGGAGTGACGCGCCGTCATCGCCGCGAGGCGGGCGCACGCACGCACAGTGGGCCAGAAGACTGGTGGACGCGGCCAAAACTCTAGACGCGTTTGGAGCTCCAGAGTCGCTGAATGGGACGCGAGCCGATCTTGTGACCCCACCAATGGATTGCTCACCGAACGAGGAATCCATTGGCGGGGTCACACGTTCGGTTCGAGTTCTGCTTAGCGACTCCGGAGCTCAAAACGCGTCTTGAGTTTTAGCCGCCGGCGCGCCGGTCTTCTGACCCACTGTGGCACGCACGTCGTCTATTTACCCCCGTGCACGCGGAGAAGGGTGCCGTGGTTCGAGCCCCGCCGCCGGCCGCCGCGCCACACACGGCCAGCTGTTTGTTTTCCCGGCCGTGCTTGACTTTCGCCTCCTACAGGTGGGCAGGCCGTGGGCAGGCCGAGCCAAACAGCTTCCTCCCGGACGTCCGAGAGAGAGAGAGAGAGAGAGAGAGACAGCCGAGTCGATAAACGTCTCGTAATCGCCGCCGAAGTCGTGGCCGTCCTCCCCGCCTGCTTTTCTTGGCGACGACGGCCGAGGGGGCGGGGCGCGGCAATTACGTCGCCAGCCAGGTCGCCGTCGTGGCGCACCGGGGCCATAGCGGCCGCTGAGAGTCGTTCTCGTCGCTCTGTCTCTCTCGCACTCACGGGGCGGCCCGCACAGGTGCGAGAGAGACAGCGCGACGAGAACGACTCTCGGAATCCGGCTGCAGGGCCGAGCCGGGTCGCCCACCGCGCCCAGTCCATTAGCAGCGCGCCGAACAACTTGCCAACTCGCGCCGCCTTCTGTATGCAGCCCTGCATTGAGTGGGGCACCCTTTCAGGCGGCGGGGCGTGGCGGGGCGGGGCAGGGCGTGGCGTGGCGGGGCGGGGCGGGGCGGGGCGGGCGCGGGGCGGGGCGGGGCGGGGCGCGGCGGGCGGGCGGGGCGGGGCGGGGCGCGGGCGCGGCGGGGCGTGGCGGGGCGGGGCGGGGCGTGGCGAGGCGGGGCGAGGCGGGGGCGGGGACCAAGGTGCCCAAGGCATGGGCGCCCCAATATTTCGTCGGCTCAGGGCGGCGCCACGCCTCGCGCCCCGCCCACCCGAGTGCCCGACCGCAACGCGCACTAGGGCCAGTGGCATGAACGGGCAAAGCCCTTACGCCTCGCTCCTTCAAGGGCCGCCGCCACCTGAAGGGACCTGAGAGGCGTTCGGTTCGCAATCACGGTCCGCCCGCCCCGCCCCGCCCCGCCCCGCCCCGCCCCGCCCCGTCCGCCGGCGCCCTTCGAGCGCCGGCTGAGAGCAAAACCAGGTTCGGCGCCCAGGCCAAGCCCAGGCCAAGCCCAGGCCAAGCCCAGGCCAAGCCCAGGCCAAGCCCAGGCCCGACACGCTAACGCGGTGCATTGTGGCCGTGCAAGGCACCGTGACGCCTTCCGCACGTGCGGCAGTGACGGAATCGTGACACGCTCGTGACGTCATTGTGACGTCATTGTGACGTCATTGTGACTTGCGTCACGACGGCGCGGAGGCGGTCCTCGGCGAGGCGCGTCACGTTGGCGACGGCAGGCGCGCCTCTAACGACTTCCAGTGGTCCGTGTCAGCGCGCGTCGGCGCGCTGCCTCGCCGTGGGCCGAGGCCGAGGCGGTGGCGCACAGTGGGCCAGAAGACCGGAGGAGGCGGTCAAAACATCGAACGCGCTTTGAGCTCCAGAGTCGCTCAATGGGACTCGAACCGAACGTGTGACCCCACCAATGGATTGCTCTCCGAACGAGGAATCCATTGGTGGGGTCACACGTTCGATTCGAGTCCTGCTTGGCGACTCTGGAGCGTCACGCGTCTCGCATTGTGGCCGCCTCCACCGGTCTTCTGGCCCACTGTGTGGCGGTGCGCGGTGCGGCGCGGTGCCGGCTAAGCGTTTGTTTGAGAGACGTCCCATTTGCGTTCCCAAGAGGACCGCTATCCGTTTGGCGCGTTTGTCGTGGCGACGGGTCGCCGCTTTGGGGCGGCAACGAAGTGGGGCCGGGCGTGTCCCCCCCCCCCCTCCTCCTCTCCGCTCTCCTCCCCGCAGACACGTCTTCAGTTTCCGGCTCGGCTGGCAGTGCCTGCCTCCCTGCCTGCCTGGCAGTGAGGACGACACGGCGTTTGACGAGAGCGCCGCCGACAAGCGAAGCGGGGGCGGGGGACGGCCCAGCGCCTCCAAAGCCTCCAGAGGCGCCGGCAGAGGCCGTGAAGGCAAGAGGCTGGACGCCCCCGGCGCGCATACCGGCACGACGCTCGGCTAGACGCTGGACTTGTCAACGCGCAGTGGGCCAGAAGACCGGCGGCGTCGGTGGCCGAAACTCTAGACGCGTTTTGAGTCGCTGAACAGAACTCGAACCGAACGTGTGACCCCACCAATGGATTGCTCTTCGAACGACGAATCCATCGGTGGGGGTCACACGTTTGGTTCGAGTCGCATTTAGCGACTCTGGAGCTCAATCGAGCGTCCGGTATTTTGACTGCCAGTACCGGTATCTGACCCACTGTGCAACATCATGGGTCAAATACCCCGCTTTTTGTTTGTTTTCGATGGTAGTGTAAAGTGGTACTCACCGGCTCGGACCCGCATCTCCCTGCTGAGGATGGTGCCCGCGGCGTTGGAGGCGGCGCACCGGTACGTCGCGGTGTGCACCTCGGAGGAGTAGAGCTCGCCGGGGAAGGCCGGGAAGTAGAGGCTGCCGTTGGCGAGTACCTCCCTGCGGGACACAAAAACACGAGGCGTCTTAATTTTGCGACAAACCCCTCTCGGCTTTTAGCGCCATCATGTCCTTGGCGCGGAACGCACGCCCCCGCCTGCCGCACCACAGTGGGCCAGAAGACCGGAAGAGGCAGTCAAAATTCCGGACGGGCTTTGAGCTCCAGAGTCGCTAAATGGGACTCAAACTGACCGTGGGACCCCACCAATGGATTGCTCTCCGGACGAGGAATCCATTGGTGGGGTCACACGTTCGATTCGAGTCCTGCTTAGTGACTCTGGAGCTCAAAACGCGTCTTGAATTTTGGCCGCCCCCACCGGACTTCTGGCCCACTGTGCGCCCTCGGCGCCCCGTCAAGGGCTTACGCAAGGTAATGGCGTGCTGCCGAAGAGGGCTCAAAATATTTCACAACTTGGGGCCAACTATCTCCGGGCCCGGCACCCGGCATTCGCCAACACCGCTCTAGCCGCTCGCGGCGGCTCGGCTTTGGCGAAAATATTTGACTTGGAAACCGCCTGAGGAGTCGATAAACTTTGGCCGCGGCAGGCGCCGCCCCGAGATGGATCCCCGGTTCTAATTCGTCACCCCCCGCCCCGATACCCGGCGCACTGCACATTACTCGGTTTGCCGATTTCGACTTTTCTCCCAGGGAACAGAAAACAGGACTTCACCTTCCCGTCAAGCTGGAATGGTGTTACAATAACACCATCATCGCCCACGGTTTAAGTTAGCGTTTCTTGACGGCAAGGCAAAGTGCATGTCAAACCATGTCCATTTCACGAAAATGATATCGTCGGATGCGAATTTGACACTATGTACGTAGCCTTATTCGGGTCATGAGGAGTCACCGGAGCAGACTATCTGAATGCCTGAACCGAAACCTTCGTAATACGAAGCAAAACTACCTTCATATCATGCTTCTGTTATTTTCTTCGCATGCGGGAAAGTTTTTCATAAGACATTCAGTGTGCACTGTGGGAAAAAAGTACGGAACATGTCTGATCAATAATTTGCCTGGAACGTCCGTACTTGCCGAATATGGAACGTTACGTACTTTTCTTCGGTACCCATTTACATGGAGCAAGTACGGAACGTTCCGTACTTTTCTCCGTACCTCCGTACTACATTTTTCTGTACCATCTCCGCACAAAAGTACGAAATTTTTTACAGTGTGGGGCGTGCCTAAATTTCGTCAATCTTCGCTCACTTGACGTCGGCAGGACCTTTTCCAGTTCCCTGGGCTACCTTTGAGTGTGAGTCGTCGTTGCAACGCGTTGGTAACACTGCACGAGAGACCTGTCTCTCGCGCCGCGCACTTCCCGCGTCGTTTTACGCCAACGCCCCGCAAAACAACCTGTTCCCTCGCCGGGGCCGCTACACGCTGTCCCGATCCCCAGGGCCCCGCCGGCGCCGCCAGCGCACATACACGCGAAAGACAATTTGCATAGAGCGGGCACATGCAGCGTTTTAGTGGACAGCGTCGCAGCGCGCTGTAACGACTCCGCGAGGAAGGGGCGGTCAGTGACTCGCCAACAACAATAATTGTCCGGCTCTATTCCTTTGTTTTGTTGTTTTTATCCGCGGCCTTTTCCCCTTTTTGTTCCGAAATTTATTTTCACGACGCACTGCCACTAAGCCATTCTGCCGTGTCAAGGTCCATTTCGTCGGACTGCAATAATGCCGCATTTCTCTCTCTCTCTCTCTCTCTCTCTCTCTCTCTCTCTCTCTCTCTCTCTCTCTCTCTCTCTCTCTCTCTCTCTCTCTCTCTAATGGATTAACGGCCCCATTTATTCGCAGGTTCATTCATTTATTCATTGAGCACTATGTCGTTTTTCCTTCAAAGGACGCCTGCTTCACGCGTCTGAGGGAAAAAGAAGCTTCCCTTGGGGTTGAATAACAACATCAAACCGGCGTTAGT